GAGCGACCTGAGTCACATTTGGCATGAGAGGTCAAAGTCACTGCCAAACAACGGCATTTTGCTAGATCTAAGACCTGGTGAAGCTCCATCAGGTCGTTGAATTCATATAAATGATCCTGCGGATCAGCATTTCCATCGAACGCCCGCATGTCGGGCATCCTGAATCCCTGTGGGAGTGGAGCGGCTAGCACTTCGGGAGAGAAGGGGGACGCAGATGCGACTTGCCCTTGCTCATTTTGCTGAGCTCTTAGTCGGTCTAGAACTTGTTGCAGCTCCTCAATTTGTGGCAATGGAGCCACTTGGGAATTACTTTCACCCGTGCGAGTACCCTCGCGATTATGGTTGAGAAAAGTCCGGAGGCTGGGTTCCTCTTCGCCTCGGCTGGCGGTCCCAACCACTCTCGACACATCCTGGCTGGAGGCGTGTGATGGCGATGATAGTGCGGGGTATTTTCAGGACCTTCGCGGTGGTAAGAACCGCCCCGCGAAGTGTGGGAACCTCTCGCACGATGACGATATGGATCGTTCCACTGGCGGTGGTAAGAATCACCCCGCCCAGCGCTTTTACTAGGGTGTACCTGCGACGTGGCATGGGATAGCTCAGGCTGCGTCTTTTCACCGAGTCTTAACGAGACTGGTACTCTGCTTGGGACACGGTCGGTGTTCGCTAGCCCTTTGGAGCCCGTAGGCCCCTTTTCTGCCACTTGCTTACCCTTTCGTCTACGCGCTGCAGTGTTCGCGGCACTGGCTATTTCCCTTTGCCGCGCTTTTGCGTGACCTGCAGGCGTTTTTGGCGGTTACACCGCCCCAGCTGACTTGGATGGCACGCTCTTGTCCAAACAATCCAACCTTCGGTTGACCGTTTGGCAAGTACTGTCAAACCTCTCCAGGTAACTTCTAATGGCAGGGTCAAGTTGTGAACTTGATGAGATATCCCCTGCAGCGCCTTGCGGAACTGAGGGTATTTTGGAAGAGGTACCCCCTTGGACTTAGGGGGTTCCTTCAGCACCCTGGTTGGTTTGCTCAGGTTCAGGTTGAGGTTGGCGAGCCATTTGCTGTTGTAGGACTAGTGGGTTAGAGATTCTCCTGATGAAGGATGAACACTAAATCAGGCCCTCCTTCTAGTGTCAAACTGTTAATGCGTGATTTTTACACCAACTAAACGCACGTGTGAAATGCTGAGTTGGCCTAGAAGACACACGTGAATATAAAGGATAATGAGAGTAAATGCAATAAGACAAGCGTTTTTAAAGTGGTTCGGATGCTAAGGAAACAAGTCCTACATCCACTGTGATATTATTAATGATAGAGGTCAGGTCGCATGAGTTGACTGACTTAAAAATGATGGTACAAGAAAGAGAAAGCTTTCATTTTACAGAGAGAATAGCTAATCAAGAGTAAAATGTGTGAATTCCTTGAATGAGAGAGGAGCTCTCAATTTATAGTGGGATGGATTAAGACAATCATCACTGAATCTGTGAGTTGGTGGGATTATCCGTGCAAATCCTTTTTTATGTCACATTGCCCACCTTCTATAGTGATTTGCGCGATTTGGTGCAGGGATTGGACACGTGGAATCACCACTGCTCCTGGCAGGTCTAACGTGCACCCACTATTCTGACAGAAGCAGGCTACGGGTGAACCCATGTTCTAACTTTTGTACGCTGACTGGACCTTACGTCAGCCCTATATTTTTTGGGCATAACAAGAAGAATGCATGATACTGTGTAAAAGATTCACTGGGCGATGAGTGGCAGCAGCTAGGATTCCAATACATGAAGGCCATGTCAAGTGGAACATTTAGCAGGCATCTGTAACATTGGCTTTTCGCAAAATGGCCTGCAAATGTTTGGCTGATCATTTACTTCCAGGACTAGAGTTGTATTCTACGTGATCTGAAGACAAGGAACATCAGATGGAAATTGGCTCATTTCGCAACCCATTTGTCCACTCTATAAGACTATACCCTAAGCTAACTTTTTTTTTTTTTTTTTTTTTTTTTAATGACGAGGTGTCAGACCCAGCTTGTACGTATTTCAATTAATCTCTCAAGGCCTTGAAGTGACCGACCGGTAAATCTTCTCAGTGACCACATCTATTAGTGTCTAAAGGATTCGAACTCAGGAACTCATGTTGGACCCTTTTGCTCTTTTACCATCAAACCTTACCTAAGCTAACTTCACTTAACATATATGGCATAAATTACAGTAAAGCAAAAGCACCATTTAGGTGCTGGCACGACAAATCCTGAGTGGATAATCGATAAGCATTATATATGAAGTTGGTGTACACGCAGGGCCATTATATATATATGTTAGTGCATTATTGACACAAAAATGACATATGAAAAGATATTTCCAAATATTCTTTTATGTATAAATTTCAAGTGAAACAAAATACTTTCGATCTACCAAGCACATTTTGAGATCATCTTGCTGCAGATTACATAACCCTCTTGTAAATATCTGCTCTGCAGATGCATCAATAATATTGGTTGGCGGTGGCTGGTGGGATGCTGTGTGCTCGAAGGATGAGTACTCTCAGAAACGTACAGTTTAATTTGTCATATAGCGTCAGACTTTCAGAATACAGTTTCTTGAGATGGAATTAATGCAAGTGGGGTTAATTTAAATAAAGAAAATAAGCCACCTTGAATGAATGAGTATTGCTACTGATATGCGCATTCATATCACCCTGCGGCCCCAAGCACCATGCATATAAAAAAATATAAATTCATTTGGGGCAACGCAATAAAATTCAAGAATTAAATGTGAAAATGGGGATATTGGTGACAGAAAGGTGTATTGATAGAAATAGTTAGTGAACCTGCAAAAGCTAACATGTTTTGATGTGATCCAAGATCAGCTTCACATGCTCTCCTGCATAAGTAGTTGAAAACCAATACTGAGGGCGGTGTGAAAAAATAAAATTATGGAAGAAAGAGAGAGGAGGTGAGGCATCAAATTGCCCCCAATAGAATCATAAAAGCTTTTTACAAATATACTCAGATAATAGGTCGGCTACTACTACCCATAATATAGGATTGAAATTATAGGAAATTGAAAGAGAAAATAATCTCTCTTTATTTATATATCATGTCTTATTATACACTGTTGGAGATATTGATGAGAAACTAGTTTTGTTTTCTAACAAATATCTTGTGAGATTAAGACTGTTTAATATAATACAATAGGAATTTTATCCCTTGTTCATTTCTGTTTCAAATTATCTTCGGTAATTCTTAAGTATTTTAATTTTGGACATCATTAAAAAGACTAGTCTACTTACAGACAGTCAGGATGGCCGAGTGGTCTAAGGCGCCAGACTCAAGTTCTGGTCTTCGTGAGAGGGCGTGGGTTCAAATCCCACTTCTGACATAAAATCTGATTTTTTCGATTAAGTTTTGCTCAAAACCCGAGACCGAGGAAAAATAGAATTTTGCGTGTAAAATAAATTCTCTTAGCTATACATGTACATCGAATCAATATACAGTAAAATTTTTTCATAGTCATAACTCTTAATGGTAAGACTAATTAATTTTCTTATTACGAAGAAGTTATAACTTAACAGTGGTTAGTTACAAAAATTTCTTATTTCATAATTCATATTTTAGTAGTACAATATTAGAATTTCAATTCACGGATTAAAGATCGTGTTTTGAAATCAATAAAGATAATTATCTTTGATGGAATTGTAAATGCAATTGTTGCATGGTCAATTAACGTAAAATCATATACAATTGCTAATTGTTTTAAGCATTACAAAATTAAGATCCCTGATGTTGATGAATTGCGAGTTATAATTGAAGTGGATGAGGAGAATCAAAGAGTCATTGTAGAATTGAGTGATCAAATTTAACAACTTCACTATATTAATCAAATGGATATTAATATCTTCATTAATCATCCAAATGAACAACAAATCATGTATGCTTTAACGGAAGAATAAATCATTGCTACAATTAGACACTAAGCATAAGGAAATAATTATGAGGATGATAGTACGGAAATACAAAAAGTCTTGTACCAAGAAGCTCTAAACATGCTTGAAAAACTAAAAATGTTTTGGCTTCAACAAGAAAATATTCATGCTAACGAGTAATGTACCTCCAAGTTAAAAGAAGTGGTAACAACTCTAAAACATAACTTATTGTCCCAAACAACTTTAGATAAATATTTTATTTCATCTTAAACCTTTAATGTAATATATATATATATATATTTTTTTATAATATGCATATAATTATTACTATGTAGGGATAACTTTCCAACAAGAATTTGAAAATTTTAATAGAGTTTATTCTTATTTATAATTACCCTAAATTGAGAATAAAGTTTTTAATACCTATATAAAATTTATTCCTATAGAGAATATCGCTATAAAAAGGTTTTCTGTAATTACTTTGAAGCAAACTATGGAGCGAAGCAGAAAACTTAGGACAGACAGCTTCGGAAGTATAAAGAGTAACCAAATTCACAAAAAATTGATGCTGATAAACGATACATGAACAAAAACTATCCAAAATACTTTCCTCAGATACAGTCGGGGAAATGTTTTCTCTTCTCTTAATTAGCTTGGGAATCTTTCCTAGCAATTGGCAAGCCATAAATTTTTCCTTTTCTTTTTTAACCAAGCAGTTTGTCCACCAATTTGAAACAAAGTCTTAAAATGTTGGCATAGAAGATCTCCTGAAGGCTGAAAATAAGGTTAAATGTTCATGTAATTTTTTGCTTACTGCTCATATAATCAATGACATCAACAATGAAAAGGGCCAATTCTTTTAACATTACAGAACTATCGATCAGTATCAACTGACCTTGCATTAATTAGGTGGACCTATACAAATGTTGGGGATGTAAACCAATCAACATTTCCCATACAAAACAAGCAGCTGTTCTTGTAAGGAGCATAAGATTATTTCTCTTGGAAGGCGCATAGCCCACTCATTGGCCTGAATCCACACATCATCGAAATTGGTTTGACCCAGCACTGAACTACATGTGAAGTACAAAACTAGAGGCTATCTCATTAAATCTAAGAACACAAAGCCATTCCAGAGGCTATGCAAGAGCATAGATGGCAACAGATTCCTTGATCGTGCAAATACAAGACCCATAACCACACCAAGAAATATAAGCGGTAGCATTCTCTGTACATTGAAATGCGCTAGAGCAAAGGCAACTGAACTCACCAGTATTGCACACCATACAGGCATGTATTTGGTCAACGAAGGGAGAAGGAAACCCCGAAAGACAATCTCTTCCCAGACAGGAGCACATATGGACACTACTATTGCATATAATGCCATTGCAACCGGATCCCGTGCCATTATTGACTGCTCAACACTTGAGATAGTGACAGGTGCAGAGGGCATAAGGGGCAACAAGTTCAGGTTGAATTGTGAGAGCCGATTCACCAGAGGAAACATGAGACATCCCAGTGCAACATCAAATTGCCAGGTTCCCCTCAAGCTAAATCTAAACCAATCAGATGGAAGGGGATGAAACCGAGACAGGCAGCGATGGAGGATAGCAATGCCAGCAAGCCCTTCAGTTACATCAGTCACGAGGCTGAATAAGGCCTGTCCTCTAAACGTCAGAGAATCCTTGCTGAAACCTGCTATATGGGCTGCAAAAGGAATCACCCAAGACCCTATGAACCAAAATGCCGCAACCCATAAAAGCATTACCTGCAGACCAGATACAGTGTCATTGCCACCTTAATTAATTCCATTTTCTAATAGAACAGTATAATTTATTAGATGAGAGTGTCTACTGGAGCTAATTTAAACAGTTCAAAACTAAGATTAGAGGGAAATTGCTGTTGTTGGTAGCTTTCTTCCTACTTTTGGATGATATCATTATATCAGAATACCAGAAGGCTGATAAACAAATGGAAATGTATTCATCCAGGTGCAGATATCCATTACACAAAACTAGTTTTTTAGTTATATACATATCCTTAAAGAGGATAACTAGCAAATGAATGCAATTATCATTGTCTTCTTCATGTTTAAGAAGCACATTTTGTATTTTCAGTGATAACAACTCATCCTCAATAGCAAATGACAGGCAGAAAGCTCAGGGGTTAGGGCTACATGCAGTTTTCCCAACAAAATAGCATCATAATACAGTTAACTTGATGCAATTAAGTTGAAACACTTACTTGTAATATAGTTTCTGCTGTCCATGGTACAGTCCACCGGCTCCCAATGGCCCTTAACACTGCATCTGAAGCCTGGAATATAAACAATATGATTAATAAACACATTGATAAATCTTGAGATATCTGTACTATGTTTAACTCTATTTTAGATGTTATTCATACACATTCCACATAGTAGACAGACCAATCTTCTCTCCAGAAACTAATGATAGAAAAATGGATCCAAAACATGTCATACTACATCTGGATAGAATTTTCTAAGAAAACCAGTTCTCCTTTCCCTTCATTTTAGTTAAATCATTTGGCAACCACCCCAGAAAATCTGTAATGTAGATCTTTTGAAATTTTCTTCTCAATTTCACTATTATTTCAGGTTTGCTAAGACATCAGTTCAATTAGGTCATCTATGTTACCAATGCCCAGTGCAGTGTGAAATCCTAGATTATTGCCACGAAAAGATGTCCATAAATAAATTTAACCGATGGAATCTAACTGGGTAAAACTGAAGGAACTTATCGTAAAGTGGCACATAACATTCAGAAGACTGTACATAAAATCAAGTAAAGCAGCACATTAAATTACCTCTCGAAGAGTTGATGCCCAATCTCTTTTACCGGATTTTGACTTCTCGACTTCAGGTTTAACCAATTCCTCTGGCAACAAATGTTCTATAAATTCGGGCTTTGAGCTTTCTGGTGATATTTCCTCGCGCCTAAAACACGAAATTTTCCATTTCTGCAAAGCACAACCAAATCATTAAAACCAAATAAAAAAAATTCAATGAAACGCTCCTAAATTCGACATATAGAGACAAAAAAAAAAAAAAAAAAAATCCAGAAAAAAACAGAAGCTAACTCTAGTTCAACTTTAAAATTTAAAGAAACTACAATTTCAAAAACTGGAGGAGCATGGTTCAACAACTACTTACATTTCTGGGGAACTTGAAATTAGAATCGAAGATCCGAGAAGTACGGGAGAGAGAAAATGGGGCAGGTCGATTGGAAACCCTAAGTTTAGAAACGGAAGGTAAGAGAATGGGACGGTGAGAGAGAGAATGAGAGCAAGTGCTCAACATTGGGTCCGGTTACGAAAAACCCTAGTTGGAGTTATAGTTATTAATAGCATCGGAGGAAGTGCAGAGAAGTAAGGAATTAGAATTAGGGGAAAACGTCAAGAGAAAAAAACCCTAATTTTATGGAAAAAAACCCTAATTTTATGGGGGAATGGAATATTTGAAGTTAGTTAGAGAAGGGCAAAAGCTGGTTGTTGTTTTACAGTGAGAGAGAGAGAGAGATAGAGATGAGCCAGAGCCTATAGCAGTAGAGCTACTCTTCTCATCACGGATGGATACACATATACCAATTGGATGCCATTTTTCCGATCTTCGGATTTTTTTGCGTAGTCATTTGGGCCTTTGTTTGGGCCCCGACGAGTTTTGTGATGATGATTAATTGTCAGATTCGTGAATTAATGTTAACTGTAGTTAGAACTTAGAGTTCGGTTGTATTAAAGATGATCAAACAAATCTCTGAAGTTGATTTATTACTTATATATAGTAAGTTAAAAGTGCACTAACCTTAACATTCCCAATCATCATTAAAAAAAAAAAAAAAGGTAAGAAGTTTCATAATCCGAAAAGACTAGTTAAGGTGCACGTAAACTAACCTCAACACCTCGATTATCATCATCATAAAAAAAAAAAAAAAAAAAAAATTCCTTGCACATTATTTAAGATACAAAGTTAAGATATACACAATTTTCCACACTAATTAACCATCATAGCATGATATATTTGGACAAATTCCTAATAAAAATTAATCCTAATGTCACCTTTCACCATTCATAACCTCAAAAAGCTTTGGAACCATGAATAATAATTTAATGGAAACATTCGGTTTAGAAACAGGAGAAGAGCACAATAAACAAAAATGCCGTGGCTTCAAAACTCCAAAGCCAGCCTGTGGGAGAGCTTCTACCAGTCGCAAACAAAAATCACCCAACAATTTATTAGTCAAATGTACCTCTTCCCTTGTGTCTTGAGATCTGCCTATAATTCCTGGAGAAAGAACTCCATGCAATTTTTGCAGCCAGAAGATGTATCCCAAGAAATTGGACTACAAATAGTAGTTCATACCTACCTCAATCAAACAAATATGAGGTATGTTCAAGACCACGGCAGAGGACCGACAGTTTTTACGCAAGAAAGAATAGGCCACATTGATCACAAATCTCTTCAAGAATGATGCGTTCCATTTGGCCTTTATACGAGAGTGGCCTATAATATATGACATACCAACATACTTGGCTTCTATAAGCTCCAAGAGCTCTTCCTTCACGCGCATATCCTTAAATTTTGTATCTACCAACTTGAGTTGAACTGGTGGCCTAAAGCTGGGAGATGATTCCCACTCATACAAGGACTTCAACTTCTGCAGAGCAGGTGATCTACTGCTACTCCCAATAAATGGCGGTCCTGAACTACTGCTACTTTCTTCTCTGTTGTCCAATTCTGACGTTGCCAATCGTTTGCCAAACTTCTCAGATGTCCTCACAACTGCTAGCCAACCATCCACAGAACCATCTGGGTTTTCAAAGCCTTCTGCTTCCAATTGGATAAATTCTATTATGCTCATCACAAGGTCGTTTTCAAAATCAACATTATTCTGGACATCTTTGTAGCCACTTCGAACAATGCAGCGGTACATCCGATGAGATTTGGGGCCAACCCGGCCTATGAGATATCGTTCTTTATGAGGAACATACGGAACAGGAACAGTCTTAAAACAGACGAAGACAACCACTTGGTAAAATGCTGGTAGGTTGGTTAAGAAATGGGTGAACGTGGCTGGGACTCCATTTGCCAATCCAGTGAAGATGAGGCCAATTCCAGGAGCCCTAATAACCCCAAGACTTGGGCCTTGGTTAAGAATCCATTTCATGGATACTTTGTTATGCTGATCATATAAATACCACCTCCTGCTGCCGTAATGCCACACAAACATAATGACCAGAAAGACTGCAGTGAGCATGACAGAAGTCCATCCACCCTTGGGGATTTGCACGCACGCCAAAGAGAGGTACATGATCTCAATAGATCCAAAGAATAGTGCGAACAGAAGGGCAAATATGAGACTCCGATGCCATACAAAGTTGATGACCAGAGTCGTTAAACATGTTGTTATAAATGCCAAAGCCATGCTTGCCAACCCTGAATTTAGATAGAAACATCATTTCCAATTAAAAAACGATTTAACCAATATACTTTTTTATCACTAAAAACTCCAGCCAACAAGCATTGAGATATATCTAGCAAAGGAAAAAGACAACAGTAGATTCAAAGACCATGAATCATGGGCTGAGTGAAAACAGAATGGATGAAGTAGAGCACTTCACCTCCTCCATATCGTCAAATAGAAGTTTCCCAGCACCAAGAGGACCATATGCATTATTCAAGTAATTTTAGAAGCAAAGAAATCACAAATTCTAAAACAAAACATACATAATTCAAGCAAGGCTCAAGTCCATCATAAACAATGAAGAAAACTTTGGGAAATTATTTCTAATAGAAAACAAAGGAACACAAAGTCTACAAATTGATACCTCTATAAATTTAATCAGATTTACACAAAAAACGTCATTAGAAAATAAGAACTTCCTCAACCTTTCACAGATTTCTTGGACCAAAGATGACTTACCATAAGCATTGGCCAAACGAAGTGTGTCTTGAAAGCCTACTGTAACTGCCAGACTGAGAATCATAAGGACCCAATTTATCTCTGGGATGTATACCTGACCACGTATCCATCTTGATTTATGCACAACCTTGACACGGGGAAAGCATCCTAATGCATAGCATTGCTTAACAGTTGAGAATGTGGCAGAGATGACGGCCTGACTGGCAACAATTGCAGCCAAAGTTGCCAAGACAATAAATGGCCAAAACAGTAGATCTACAAATTTCTCAAGAACATTCAGTTAATAAAAACAAAAATAAATTATATATTGGAATAAATCTTGAAGTGATGTGATTCTAGAAAGGCTATAACATGGAAGACATTTTACTTCAAAAATGATAGTGAATAAACTACCATCATTGTGCGTGCATAGAAAAAGAGAGATGATAATGAGCTTATTCTCACTTAACCAATCACCATGTAAACAGTAACTAACCCTATCATCTCTCTATTTAAATTAAGATAAATATTATTTTGACGGGAAATAATATTTGACAGTATTTTGCTTGAAACTTTTAAGTAAAATTAAAGTTTTATAACAAAGAGAATACCTTAAAGTTCAGAGAGGCTTACCTGGGACGGAAGCATAAAAGTTTAAAGGTGCAGAAAAATTTCTTGAAAGAAATGCAGCCCGTCCCATATATTGAAGCACTAGACATGGGTAAACAACAAAGCAAAATGCAAGCTGCACAAGATAACAAGTTCTATCAATGTTTCTTGTAGATACGTAGAATGTGCATATGGAGATGAATAATCAGAACAATGGTTCAATGATCGCATCTAACTAGCTCAATAATAGGAACTATTGATGTAAAATGAGATGCAAGTCAAGTGCAAGCTTTGAGCTTCATATTTCAAGAGAATTATCAAAGTGTACAAACTGCTCAACTACCAATCATGATGAAAGAGGAAAACCTGCTAGCAAAAACATGATGACAGCATAATCACCATTCTCAACTCATTAAAAATTCCATTTCACCTTCTTCAATTATGCATATGACCATGCAGGATTTGATTAATGATGTATCTAAAGCCAGGAAGCTAAATTTTCATGATTACAACCATGATGATTCCAATATTCATGGCTTCATTGTTTAGCAATAGAAAGAACTGAGAATAAACTAGGCAATTGAGATTGCTCCTCAGAAAAAAAAAATGCTGAATAATTCTCTCAACATGTGAAGTCCCCACTAACTAGTATATCAATGTTTATGAGAATCAAGCCAGCCATGATATTTCCAGAGAACAAAAAATTATTTAAGAAAATAAATCACCAAGAGCAATCTCTCCCTCTGACATAATGAAATGGAGAACTTGAGTAGAATGTTTTCATTCCTCCTTAAAATGCAGTGATGATAAACATTTATATATGAAAAAAAAATTTCAGCCCTGAGCAAAGCCAAAAGCAACACATGCATCATGAACAAATAGATTATGTATAAGTTTCTCATAAGCACAGAAGAGAAATTATCCGTTCAAGCAACACATACACAGATACACAAATTGGAGTTTTATACTTGGATCATTCCAAGAAGAAAAACTTTTTGGGGTACTAACTTAATTGCTTATGACAAATGCTACTAAGTAACAAATCACTAAGGTATCTTAATTAGAGGTAACATCAAATCAAATACTATAATCATTTTGATTGCTAAAACAAAGAGAGTTTAAAGACAGTATATTGCCCTCCATTCATATACATTCAAAAAGATTTTCCTAATGCGCCTCTCATGGAAATTGGAAAGTCCAGAGCCTCAATCAGACCTAAGTCTCAGGAACTATTAAAGACACTCCCAAAGAAGAATTTAAATAAACAACTGGTTATAAATTAATTTCTCATGAAGTCAATCTTTCACAGTCATGGGAAGTGCATACCCTTATTGATGCAGCTGTGAATTGGCCAAGGTCTTGAAATATGGTTTGACTTCCTGCACTTGACAAGAAATGCAACTTGAATCCAGTAACAGCAATCCTTATAAATTGTACTTCAACAAATTCCAAATGTCATATTTACCAGTAACACAGAGAAGTACTCCTGCAAGAGAAATCCAACCATCTTTTCCAGTTTCCCTAAAGAACTTGTAAATGTAATATGGAGAAAGGGCTTGATATACTCTTGGATTCCACTTGACAATATTGTAGATGCCAACAGCGGCAATGGACAATAACCATAAAATCAATATGGGAGCAAACAGAAAAGCCACCTTGTAGGTGCCACGGTATTGCAAAACAAAATGGCCAATCAATACAAGACATGCTATGAAAACCACCATACCTGTATGTTTGCAGAAAAGTTAGTATCTTGAATGGAATGACATGAATCTAAGATGGATGAATGCACATGGAAGAAATAGAAAATTCATTCAAATATTTGTTCAATGTTCCCATCTTTGTGTTGTTCCCTTTTCAACATCCTTGCTATCAGTGCTAAAAGCATCTGAAATAAGACTTTACCAAATTATCTTCTGCCTTTATCCATCATGATCCCACCATCAGGGAGACCAAACCTTTCTCTCTTCCATTATTGAAACTTAGCAAATGAAAAGGTGGGTGTTCAATATCTTTAAGACAGGATTGTTTGAAAGAAATAAAAAACTTTAGTACTTTTATTATGACCAGGCAACATCATCCCGGGCTTCATAAGCATTGAACCACATTCTTATTAGGAGATTAGGGGTAACAAACAAAATGAAGAATTTTTTTTTAATTTTTTTTTAACAGAAAGCTGCACTCACCACCGTGCTTATCATGTAATCGGATTTGCAGCCCATCAATGGATGAAAGAACTGCGAAACAGCGAAAATTTATAAGCACAGCTATACAAAGAACCAGGTAAGAATGAATGAAAGATACAGTATAAGAGATTAAAGGGGTAAAAAGAAAGCACTCTTACCAGATATTGCTGGTGTGAGGACACCAAGACAGAAAACCAGGGCAGTGCCAAGCAAAACTACAAGAAGTAAACCAGTTTTTGCTTTTTTGCGACTCTCCATAAAAGATTTCAATGGGGAGGAAGGTATATTTCTACTCGAGTAACCAGAGGCATGATATGTAGAAAGCTCCTCATCAGCTGCTTGATGATTAGGAAGTAAACCAAACTTTGCATTTCTGCAGAGGAGTGCATATAAAGAAAAAATTCCTCCTGCAAATTGTCCCGACAGTAAAACAAAAAATTTATAGCAAAAACATAAAATTATGAATGATCACCTTTGGAAAAACGTGAGAACTTACCTTCGCCATTATCATCTGCATTTAACAAAATAATGACATACTTGAACAGCGAAAGAAGAGTGAAAGTCCAGAATATCAAGGAAAATGCCCCAAATACTGCATCTTCACTCTGAAAATTACCCAATCTTCCAGAAAATATACTTTTATAAACGTAAAGGGGAGAAATGCTCAAGTCAGCAAACACAATACCAAAACTCTGATATGCTAAAAGGAGGATTTGTTTAAATGTCCTTTTATTGTCAACCTGCTTCAACACCAATCAAAACCAAACAAAGACATTATCCACAACCCATCAAAGTTAAGTTTTTCACTATTCCAATTAGCTAATAAACTCGTTATCCATTTATAACTTTCAGAATAAACCCATACTAGATTAAAATCTCGCATAAACCTAATCAAATGTTTAATTCAGTGATCTACATATGTAATTTCCTTCATATTTTTAGCCTTAAATGATCCCATCGGTCAAAATACAACAGTTATTACATTGCATTTCACTCAAAATTTATCTTCTTCACGTGGGTCAACGCAAAAGATCAATAATTTTCTACAAATCCATCACTAAATCGAGCTAAAAAAGGAACAAAATTATGAAAAAGCAGAATTTAGTCGGGAAATGTTGAAAAACATACCATATTATTGGAATGAGTTTGGTTCTGAACATGAACTGTGGATGGTGTAGAGGTGTAAATCGAATCTGTCGAACGTTGTTGTAACGAACTGATCCAAACCTCGCGCGTACTTAGTTTTGGATGTCGTTAATCTTGTTCTTCTGTTCACTGGTCTGGTCGAATGGGCCCCCGGAGATGTTAGAATTCAGAGGATTAGATTAGATTTCCCTGGTCTTACCCAAACTCTTTCAAAACCCCAAAATCAATTAAAAAATAAATAAATTTGAATTATTTTAAAATTACCATTTTTGTTAATCTTTTTAATTTCTCTAATTTTCTATTTTTTTAACTTTTTTTCTTTTTTAAAAAAAACTCATGACTTCTTGTTTAAAATATTTTTTCCAACTTTGTTTTTTGGGTTTTCTAAATCACAAATATATAATTTTAAAAAATAAAAAACATATATTTAAAAAATAAAAAAATTAACAAAAATTAGAAAATTGTTAATTTTGAAATGAAATAAAATATATTTAAATTTAATTGATTTTGGGGCTTAAAAAAAGTTTAGACGGGGCTTAAATAATACTGCTCTTTATATTATTGGACTTTTGGTCATCTACTATTAATAACTCACCATTATTGAATTACTAATGAGAAGCTTTTTATCCATTTTAAGATTAATCATATAAATTAATTTTTCATAATTAATTTTTTCTTTTTGAAATTCTATTATCATTGCTATATATTCTAAATATTTTAATTTCTTATAAGAGGCAAGATTTTTTGTAATACAAATTTTTGACATAAAAGTGTAACACGACTATTGATCCAATTAGCATTAATTATTAAAATGGAATAGTATTACGTGCACTGTTTTAAAATTGGCCCCGCCTGATCTGTTTAATCGGTATAACTAGGAACTAAAAGCTTCACCGAGACATGTTTATATTTTTCCTATTCACCTAAAATCCTAGAATTTCAAATGATGATCGGTGAATAATTGAAGGTTTTTTGAAGAAAAATTGCTGGCGAATGCAATGGTGGTGATGGAGTTGATTTTTGGTGAGTAAATCAATCGGAAATTAAAAAATACTAGTGGCGCCAACAACTGGCTTTTGCTGGCGATTGTAGGGGCTAATGGGGGCGGGGTGCGGTGGGTTTTGATCAGGAGGAAGAGGGGAGTATTTTCAGGATGATGGGGAGGGTTGTCGACGTCAACATTGTTAAGATCTGGCTTGGAATGTCGACGCTAGCTTTGGTAAAATCTAGCCAAAATTGAACCGATTCCAACCAGATATTGGGTAAATTTTTAGGGGAATGGGCTCATTGGACGAGTGGGGTTGCATTTAGAGTGTCGCCGGCCAATTTGTATTTGGGGTGTATTTGCTAAATTTCATACCTATAGGAACTTAATTGTAGTTTTCAAGGGTGTGTTTGCTAAATTTTAAAAGTTTTTGTCCCCCGATTTGACAGCCTGTCAAACCGATCAACCTGAGACCTGACAACTTTGCCAGGTTTCACCCCAAATTGAGTTTTAAAACATTGATTACGTGTAAATAAAAAGGACTCCTTGAGATTGTACCCCTTAACCGCATATCTCAACATTCGACCTACCACTTAAAGTCTTAAACTACCCAAGGTGGGTCGAGGGAGGCTTATTTTCAATATAATTGGATGAATATGAATGTATATGATATGATCGCTTAAATTTTGCATCAATCATGACATAATCTGAAAGCAAACAGAATGTAGATTAAAAACTTAAATATTTTTCACTCATTTCATTCTCAATAGGAACAGTGGCATGGAATTATAGTCACTATAAGACAAACCTGGACTGGAATAACATGAAGGTTCCCTAAATTTATAGAATTCATATACATTCACAAGAGTCAAAATATTCAAGCATTTAACCAATAATTTACCAAAAACCTCAAAAACAACTACATTCTCCCGTGATACCAGTCTATCTATCTACCTTTCTATGAATGTAAAAGGCAGATATAGAAGAGCACAAACAATCAAGTACAATCTCAGGTGGCATATTAAACTGAGATTATAACCAGTTGAAACACCATCCAAATGCATTAAGAAACCAGTTGACACAGGAATTTGAGCCAGCAAACATGCCAACTGCAATAGGCTCACTTTCGCCGTCTGTTTGTTACTATATCAGGATTGCCTTTTTTCATCATCGCCACAAACTCTTCATAGTTAATTCTTCCATCCTGCAATATGACTCAGGTTATATATCATTTGTGAAGAGGCAACTGTCATGATATATTGACAGCAAGGTTTTGCTTGGTTGAACAGAATGCTAAATCATGACATGCAGAGCAATAGCACAGTTAAATGATCAGAGACAATGGTGTATTAAATGGACAAAATTAATCTAGAGAGGCAGAGAATTCATCAATCTTCTTGAGCTCCAAACTCGAGACCTTAGGATTTTTCTAAAACTATTTAATGATCTACAAATTTCTAACTGTAAATGTATCTTTGGAAACCAAATTCATAGCGGTTTTGTCAAAGATATCAAGAATTTAACTACATTTGCAGCTTCATGAATATAAGCAAAATAATGTCACCATGTCATTAACATATGAAATTTTACATGATTTCTCCTAACTTGGCAAATGTTCATATCAAAAAAGAATTTCAAAACACTACAATTTAAATATATGACATCATGCAACAACTTTTTGTTTTTTCGGTTTATCAAATTTTCACTGGGTGCATTCTGCACTTAAGATCTTCTCTAGGCTTTTTCTTTTCCAATAACAGATTATGTTTCTCAGCACTCTACGTATTATCAATCATCAAAACATGTTTTGTCCATGTTTTGTAGTAGATCACAATCTTGATTATTAAGTGTGAAAAGCAATCTGTGTTTTAAATTGGATTATAAACAAGAATGCTTATATATGAAGAAAAGGAGGAAGAAACATACATTGTCTGTGTCAACTTCTGCAATAATCTCTTTTATTGTTTTCGCATCACCCATATTATACTTCTTAAGAGCATGTTCCAGCTCTTCCATTGTAATGTACCTACATTGAGAAGCAGGGAACCCATAACCAGCATAAGATATAACGAAACTGCTTTTACATAAAATTGGGTAAAGTAAATTGTTAACATATATTACTAGTAACACACACACACACACACACAAAATAAAAAAAAAAAAAAGGGAGAGACAGAGAAGAAGAAGTTTTCATACCCACTGTTGTCCTTGTCAAAATATTCAAAGGCTTTGTATAAATGTTCCTCTCTTTCCATTCTGTTCATGTGCATGGTAGCTGTTATGAACTCAATGTAATCAATGGTTCCATTTCCATCAACATCAGCCTGAGAAAATAACCAGGTTTGCACTTTCAGTTGAACCGCAAAGAAATAAAGGCATGATATCTTCATTCAGCATTGACAAAGAAACTAGAGCAAACTATATTTGTTGGCTAAAAAATGCAGCCAGGTATATGCCCAGTATCAGTAGTATTGAGGATTGAAAAATGTGTGAAACATTTAAGTAATTACATATCAAATCAAGATGTGAACCAGAGAGCTGGTAATCAAGAAAAAATGTGTTCTTGAAAAGAATTTAGCCCATTCCTAATCTAGACCAATTCTACAAGCTTCCTTTTCCTAATCAGGACCAAAAGCATAAAGCTAGGGCTTGGGCCAAGTTCACTGTATGCACAAAAAGCAAATCCACAATAGTTCTGTGAGGAAAATGACTTTTTTCCCATCGAAGACTCAGTACACATCTGTAGGAATGGGTGTAAACCATTCATATATAGTTAAAAAGTCAAGCATAACTGAATGTAAAAGAGACCAAAGGCATTACCGCTTCCATTAATTGCCTCACTTCAGACTCGGACAGCCTGGTGCCAAGCTTAGGAAGACCGGCTTTCAACTCTTCATAAGTGATAGTTCCACTATTATCTGTGTCCATGGATTTGAACATTTCCTTCAAACCCATAATTTCTTCTTCAGAAAGATTTTCAGCAATCACCTGAAAGAAAGAAAGAAATTCTTATTATACTACATTGTAGAACTCCACGAAGTTAAGGATTACAATGTTTTTAACATCATTGCACCTAGAACCTAGTGCTCAGGCACAGCAGATGCCTGCACCTACTTCAATAGACAATAAATTTTTAAATTCATTCATAAAAAACTTTATGAACTACGGTACATTTTCCACCTAAAAAGAGGCCGCCACGTCAGAACACTAAGAGGACAACTGAAACCCCATGAGTTTCCACCTGTCTAGCAGTGTTTTAAGAATAAATGTACTTTTGTACGCTTATATTTCATCTTTTTAGGTCAACAGACCTTATCCCATTTATATTGTCTTCCTCTCTGCAATTCATTTCCCAATTGTCTCTAAAAAGATTAGAAAACAATGCTGATATATTGAAAACAACTGAAGTAAGTCATGCAGTCATGCTTACTTTTAGGGCTACTTTTTTAAGTTTGTTCATTGCCCTGAATTGCTTCATTCTAGTTAAAACAGCAATATCAAGAGGCTTATCAGAGGCATCACCATCTTCTCTCATCCATGGGTGATCTGCATTGCATTTCAGTGTTTAGCTTTTCAGTTAATGAATGCCAAGAAACCCAATAAAATGAACAAAAGCGATCAGCAGGAAAAAAGAAAAAACAAACAAATGATAGTGTGCACTTCACAATGAACCTGTTATAAGCATTGGAATTCCTTATGCCTTAGCAAAATTATTAATGACTATATAGTCTTCTGAGATAACAGAACTTACTTAGAACTTCAACGGCTGAAAGCCGTTCTCTAGGATCAGCACGCAGCATCTTCTTCACAAGATCTTTGGCACTACTGGATATGCTGGGCCAAGGTTCAGATGAGAAATCAAGATGCCCCCGCAGAACGGCATCAAAGATACCCTGTTCATTTTCTACATATGAAAGAAAGGTGTAATCGAGAGAAACAACAGCTAAGCTATCACTGACCAATGAGATTTGCAAATTAGTTGGTTACTAAGTACTCCAGATATGACACAAGAAAGTTAAACAAAACCTTATCATATGGTTTTATTTCACAACCAGTGACAAACTTCAAGTTCTGTTACTTCATGAGAAAAAAATCCTTACCTCCCCAAAATGGAGGAACTCCACTAAGAAGAATGTATAGTATCACTCCAGCACTCCAAATATCTGCCTCAGCTCCATAACTCCTGCGCAATATCTCAGGAGCTACATAATACGCACTTCCAACAAGGTCCTTAAACACGTCTCCTGCAATAACACTCACACTATATCGTTCAAATTCATCATCAGCGTGCCATCAAAAGTAAGGTCAAAAGGAAAACCCTCCACAGTCCAAACTCCAATGTAAATACAATAAATAAATGAAAGTTAAAACTCAAACAAAAGATATGGTTAACTGTTTGAATGGCAACATTCGATTAAAGAGAAAGTAACATGTAAAAAATTGAATGATCATAATCATTTTAATAATCGCACACTTAAAAGTTTATTTCCCAACTCTATATCCCAAGTGATGTTACAATAGACTTGTCAAACATCAATTAAATTCGATGATATCTTAAGGGATATAACCCATCCCAAATCAGCTGCCACAACCTTCGAGATACAAAGTCTTATACTTAGTTTATAAGTGTAGCATTACTCTAATTATTTCGTTTATTTACTTGGAAATGACAGCATATTGCAATACAACAATCAACAGAATTTCTACATTATCAACTCAAATCCCAACTAATTCCATCCTACATTGCCTCTTCTTCATAAATCCATAATCAACTACTCTACCATGACACCAACTGAAAAACAAAAATAAAGAAATGAAATGGCATTCACCTGGCTTGAAAAACACAGAGAGCCCAAAGTCAGTAGCTTTCAAAGGCGAATCCTCATCAGTGTTCAACAACAAGAAATTCTCAGGCTTCAAATCCCTATGCATAACACCCATAGAATGACAATTATGCACCACGGTCACAATCTGTCTACACAAATTGGCGGCAGCTCTCTCAGAATAATGCCCCTTAGCTATGATCCGATCAAACAGCTCCCCTCCCGCACACAATTCCATGACCAAGTTGACCGAGTGCCGGTCCTCATACGCGCCCTTCAGCTCCACGATGTTCCTGTGACCCGTGAGGTGGTACATGATCTGGACTTCGCGACGGACGTCTTCGATGTCATCTCGGTTGATGAGCTTGCGCGTGGCGATTGACTTGCACGCGAATTGTTGTTTAGTTTCTTTGTGCGTTACTAAGTAAGTGACACCGAACTGGCCACGTCCGAGCTCGCGGCCGAAGATGTAAGTGGACCGGACGTCCTCCATGGGCCGGCCCAAGACGCGGCCAACGGTTGATGCGTTGGTTGATGTGGTGGTGGCGGTGGTGGCGGTGGAGGAGGAGGAAGAAGATGGAGGGTGGATTTTGAGGCCATTGGAGTGGTGGCGGGGTCCAGATTCGGTGGTGGTCGTCGGGAGTTGGGTTTGATCAGATGGGAGGCCACTGCAGTTACCCATTTTGGTCAACGATAGTCAAGAGAGAGAGAGAGGGAGAGAGAAGAAAACTAAGTGAGTGAGTCAATGGAGGGTTGAGTTTTTGCTTCGGTTGGAGATTTTTCATGTCTGAATCGTGATCTATGAGATTACTAATATGCCCTTCCGCGTTGCTATTTATGGAATGAGGAAAAAAATTATGCCGCCCCCGACTTATAGGTTTGGCAAGTAAGTACATATTAATTTTTCATGAACAAATTAGTCCCTGAAACTAATAGTCATCATTGAATTCTGTTACATTATTTAGAGTCTTTTATATAAAGTCTAAAATATCCCTAATAAAAAATTTTCGAAAAAAAATGAAAATTAAATTAAATTTTAAATCAACTCAATCTACACAACAACAAAAAAATGTGAAAAAACTCTTTTGCAATTCATAGCACTCGCACTTGTTTTTCACCAAGTCTTCCGTTGTAGTCCACACCAAATTCTTAATTTTAGTATAATAATTGAAAAATATATATTTGATATTATTTTAATTTTAGTTTTATTGTTGAAAAGTCAAATCTGCCCTCCACCCGTTAATTTCATACTAACATCTCTCATATTAGAGAACATTTTTTCCGGTTAAAAATAAATATGTCCTTATAGTGAATCAAAACTCTAAGGACTAAAATGTAATTAACCCTTTATTGAGTTATCCCTTGGATACTATCATAAACTACCACTTTTCCCACCCAAGTTTGGCGAATACCCAGTTCCCACCCATAGTTTCATAAATTACAAATTCACATCCTTAAATTAACATCGTCACTTTTCTCTCAAAATAACTCCCACATCTCAAATTTCTCTCAAATAACCCCTAGAAGAGATCCTGGCCAAGCCAAAAATCTGGCCTAATTCCGGCACCATTAGACCTCCCCAACACCACCATCAACATCCCCTTATCCTCTTCACCAAAATCTCTAACTTTTTCACCTGATTGCACCTTAGCGAGGTACCGGAATTTGGTTGGAAGGCAGCGGTGATCGACAGACAATTGTGATAGGTGATGTTGGGGGTTTTGATTGGGGTGGGGGGAGCTATTAATGCTATTGGTGGTGTTGGAGGTGGTTTACGGTGCCGGGATCTGCTAGAATTTAGATGAAATGCTGATTGGAACTAAGCTGCGATTGGAGGATTCAATCAAGCGGGTGGTTAGGGGTTTTGATGTGGGGGTTGAGCAGATTGTAATGGTGGTGTCGGGAAGGGGTCGACTGTGCTGGGAACAGGCCATAATGGTCATTTCAAAGATGAATTTGAGAAGTTTAGGGTTATTTTCAATGTTAGATTAAACAATTTCCTGTTAATTTAAGGATGAGAATCTGTAATTTATGAAAGCATTGATGGGAACTTGTAGATTTGCCAAACCTTGGGTGGGAAAATGTCGTTTACTCTAAACTACCCTTAAAGTTTGCGTTTTTATCATGTGGAGAACAATTGTGTCAATTTTTATCAAAGATATCCCTTGTAGTTTTAAAAGCATATTATTCTCAATTTCTCATGGTAACTTTGTAAAGTTTTATCATATTACCCGTCACTTTGTCAATTTACAAGTTTTATCATATAGATAACACTAAGCTCATAAACTTTTTCTTATTAACTTTCTCTAACAAATACGACATGACAGTTCACAGTTAATCAGTTCGCAATAAGTCATGCTTGCCAACAATGAGTCTCGCTTGGACAATTACGAGCTGACTAATTACAAACTGTCATGTCGCATTTATAAGAGAAAGTTAGTGAGAAGTGTTTGTCAGTCTACTTTTTTTGTTTATCATAGTTACCCCTCACAATTTTAAAATCATATTATTGATATCCCTTTGCCGTAACTCCATTTTTTTTATCTTTTATTTGAATTTTTATTTCTCTTTTGTAATTTTAAAAGATTTATTCAATTGGACATTTGTGGAATAACATATTAAAAAGTATTACAATACTTCACCCATTTAATTATAATGTCAATTTAATGGATTCAGGATAAATGGGTGTTAGTGATATGCTCTTAAGACTGTAAAACTCCTTCAACATTTAACTTGCAAATTCAATACTTTTGAAGTGTATTGGAATTTTGTTTCCAGCCCAACGACATGGTTTTCTAGGCGGTTTGTCTTTGTCATATGGTTGAGGCTTGATAACCCGTTTAAGTAGACCTGTCAACATTGGCCCAATGGATATGGATACTAACATTGCTAAGCCAAGCCCAATTGAAAAAATAATAGACCCGGGTTGCAAAAAGGACAAGTGCGTTTGCCGGGAGTCGAACCCGGGTCTATTGCTTGGAAGGCAATTATCCTAACCGTTGGACTACAAACGCTCACTGATCTGCATTGCATTTCAGTGTTTAGCTTTTCAGTTAATGAATGCCAAGAAACCCAATAAAATGAACAAAAGCGATCAACAGAAAAAAAAAAAAAAAAAACACACAAGTGATAGTGTGCACTTCACAATGAACCTGTTATAAGCATTGGAATTACTCATGCCTAAGCAAAATTATTAATGACTATATCGTGTTCTGAGATAACAGAACTTACTTAGGACTTCAACGGCTGAAAGCCGTTCTCTAGGATCAGCACGCAGCATCTTCTTCACAAGATCTTTGGCACTACTGGATATGCTGGGCCAAGGTTCAGATGAGAAATCAAGATGCCCCCGCAGAACGGCATCAAAGATACCCTGTTCATTTTCTACATATGAAAGAAAGGTGTAATCGAGAGAAACAACAGCTAAGCTATCACTGACCAATGAGATTTGCAAATTAGTTGGTTACTAAGTACTCCAGATATGACACAAGAAAGTTAAACAAAACCTTATCATATGGTTTTATTTCACAACCAGTGACAAACTTCAAGTTCTGTTACTTCATGAGAGAAAAAATCCTTACCTCCCCAAAATGGAGGAACTCCACTAAGAAGAATGTATAGTATCACTCCAGCACTCCAAATATCTGCCTCAGCACCATAACTCCTGCGCAATATCTCAGGAGCTACATAATATGCACTTCCAACAAGGTCCTTAAACACGTCTCCTGCAATAACACTCACACTATATCGTTCAAATTCATCATCAGTGTGCCATCAAAAGTAAGGTCAAAAGGAAAACCCTCCACAGTCCAAACTCCAATGTAAATGCAATAAATAAATGAAAGTTAAAACTCAAACAAAAGATATGGTTAACTGTTTGAATGGCAACATTTGGCACCTATATGGTGCTTGTTAGCGATTAAAGAGAAAGTAACATGTAAAAAATTGAATGATCATAATCATTTTAATAATCGCACACTTAAAAGTTTATTTCCCAACTCTATATCCCAAGTGATGTTACAATAGACTTGTCAAACATCAATTAAATTCGATGATATCTTAAGGGATATAACCCATCCCAAATCAGCTGCCACAACCTTCGAGATACAAAGTCTTAGTTTATAAGTGTAGCATTACTCTAATTATTTCGTTTATTTACTTGGAAATGACAGCATATTGCAATACAACAATCAACAGAATTTCTACATTATCAACTCAAATCCCAACTAATTCCATCCTACATTGCCTCTTCTTCATAAATCCATAATCAACTACTCTACCATGACACCAACTGAAAAACAAAAATAAAGAAATGAAATGGCATTCACCTGGCTTGAAAAACACAGAGAGCCCAAAGTCAGTAGCTTTCAAAGGCGAATCCTCATCAGTGTTCAACAACAAGAAATTCTCAGGCTTCAAATCCCTATGCATAACACCCATAGAATGACAATTATGCACCACGGTCACAATCTGTCTACACAAATTGGCGGCAGCTCTCTCAGAATAATGCCCCTTAGCTATGATCCGATCAAACAGCTCCCCTCCCGCACACAATTCCATGACCAAGTTGACCGAGTGCCGGTCCTCATACGCGCCCTTCAGCTCCACGATGTTCCTGTGACCCGTGAGGTGGTACATGATCTGGACTTCGCGACGGACGTCTTCGATGTCATCTCGGTTGATGAGCTTGCGCGTGGCGATTGACTTGCACGCGAATTGTTGTTTAGTTTCTTTGTGCGTTACTAAGTAAGTGACACCGAACTGGCCACGTCCGAGCTCGCGGCCGAAGATGTAAGTGGACCGGACGTCCTCCATGGGCCGGCCCAAGACGCGGCCAACGGTTGATGCGTTGGTTGATGTGGTGGTGGCGGTGGTGGCGGTGGAGGAGGAGGAAGAAGATGGAGGGTGGATTTTGAGGCCATTGGAGTGGTGGCGGGGTCCAGATTCGGTGGTGGTCGTCGGGAGTTGGGTTTGATCAGATGGGAGGCCACTGCAGTTACCCATTTTGGTCAACGATAGTCAAGAGAGAGAGAGGGAGAGAGGGGAAGACTAAGCGAGTGAGTCAATGGCGGGTTGAGTTTTTGATTCGGTTGGAGATTTTTCATGTCTGAATCGTGATATGAAATTACTAATATGCCCTTCGGCGTTGCCATTTATTGAATGAGGAAAAAAAATTATGCCGTCCCCGACTTATAGCTTTCGCAAATTAAGTACCTAATAATTTTTCATAAACAAATTAGTCCCTGAAAGTGAAACTAATAGTCATCACTGAATTCTATTACATTATTTAGAGTCATTTATATAAAGTCTAAAATATCCCTAATAAAAAAAATTTGAAAAAAAATGAAAACTAAATTAAAAATCAACTCAATCTACACAACAACAAAAAAAATGTGAAAAAAAAAATATAAAAATTTTGAAAAAATTAAATCTTATTTAATTAACAAATTTAACGAAAATCAATTCAATATACAATTCATATGTTTAACCTGGAAAAGCAAATCATGTGTAAGTGTAACCCTACTTATAAATATGTGCAATTTACACAATGAAAACAACACTCTTTTGCAATTCATAGCACTTGCCTGTCCTATTTTTTTGTCAAGAACAACACTCTTCGTCAACTCATACACTCGCCCCTGTTTTTCGCCAAGTCTTCCATTGTAGCCCACACCAAATTCTTATTTTTTGTATAATAATTGAAAAATATATATTTGGTATTATTTTAATTTTAGTTTTATTTTTGAAAAGTCAACTATGCCCTCCACCCGTTAATTTCATGGTAACATCTCTCATATTAGAGAACATTTTTACCGGTTAAAAAAAATATGTCCTTATAGTGGATCAAAACTCTAAGGACTAACTTGTAATTAGCCTTTATTGAGTTATCCCTTGGACATTAATTATCATAAACTTCCGACATTTTCCCACCCAAGGTTTGGGGCGAATCTTAAAGTTCCCATCCATAGTTTCATAAATTACAAATTCACACCCTTAAATTAACACCGTTATTTTTTTCTTAAAATAACCCCTACATCTCAAATTTCTCTCAAATAACCCCTAGAGGAGATCCCGACCAACCCAAAAATCTGGCATGATTCTAGCACCATTGGACCTCCCCGACACCACCATTAGCATTCCCTTATCCTCCTCAACAAAACCCCTAAATTTTTCACCTGGAATTTGGCTAAAGAGGCGACGGTGATTGACGAGCAATTGCAGTGGTGATGTTTAGGGTTTTGATGGGGGGAAGTCGGTGATGCTATTGGGGGTGGTTTTTAGAGCCGGGATCAGCTAGAATTTGGATGAAACGCTAACTGAAACTAAGAGCAGTAGCCGGCGATTGGGGGGTTCAATCAAGCGGGGAGGTTAGGGGTTTTGATGTAGGGATTGAGGGGATTGTAATGGTAGTGTCAGGAGGGGTCGACTGTGCCAGGAATAAAGCGAAATGGCCTGAAATTGCCGGTGGGGTGAATTTGAGAAGTCTAGGGTTATTTCAAAATTTTCACCTTTGAAATGACAATTTTACTCTTTTCAATGTTAGATTAAACAGTTTTCTGTGAGAATTTGTGATTTATGAAACCATGGATGGGAACTTGCAGATTTGCCAAACCTTGGGTGGGAGAATGTCGTTTACTCTAAACTACCTCTAAGAGGCGTTTGGTTTAGGGAATGTTGGATTACTGAGAATATTAGATTACTGAAAAGTTAGATTACCTTGAAGATTATTGAAAATCTTTAGGAAAATGTGTTTGGTTAATTGATGGATAGGTTATATTAATATGTTTGGTTGGGAGGAATAAATTGGTAGGTATGTTATTTAAATGAATGAATTGTCCTCTAATTAAATATTATTATTATATTATCTTTTAATATTGATTATTATTTGGATTATAAACAACCCCCCCCCCCCCCCTTCCTTGGGCATTTAAAAACTTAGCAAAAATAATCTCATAATAAAAGTTTGAAAAATCAACAAAGCGCCCCCACCAACCCAGCCACTGCCGGTCGTTGGCAGCCTAACGGTGCACAGAAGGCAGTAAATGGCCTCCGTGCGCCGATATAGCCATTTCCGGCCAGAGATCTGACCGGAAATGGCCAGACGTGACAGATCTGGCCATTTTTGGCTAGATATTTGGCCGGAAATGGCCATATCGGCGCACGACGACCATTTTCGGCCTTCTGTGCGCTGTTCCAGCGGCGGCGACGGCTGGTTGCGGTGGTCGTTGTCGGCGATAGGTGGGTGAGGGTGGTTGCTTGGGTGGATAGCAATTTGTTTTTTAATTCAAAGGTAATTTTGTCCAAAAAGTTAATTAATTTGGGTGAAATAGTAAAAGTCATATTTATGTAAATAAATTTAAAAATAAGGGTATTATTGTCCCAAAATTTTATTAATAATGGATAGAATTGTAACAAAAAAAGATAACCCTGATAATCTTAGAATACTTAAGAAAATGAAGGTAATCAGATTACCTCTGATATTACCAATAGTAACCACTATTGGTATTTGAAGATTACCGGTATCTTATATTAATTGACAACCAAACATGGTAATCAAGTAATATAAGATGACTTAACCCCAGTAATCCCACATAACCCCCAACCAAACGCCCCCCTAAAGTTTGCGTTTTTATCATGTGGAGAACAATTGTGTCAATTTTTATCAAAGATATCCCTTGTAAAGTTTTATCATATTACCCGTCACTTTGTCAATTTACAAGTTTTATCATATAGGCAACACTACGCTCATAAACCTTTCTTACTAACTTTCTATCATAAATATGACATGACAGCTCACAATTAATCAGCTCACAATAAGGCCTGCTTGTCAACAATGAGTCTCGCTTGAACAATTGCGAGTTGATCAATTACAAACTGCCACGTCGCATTTATAAGAGAAAGTTAGTGAGAAATGTTTGTCAATCTATCTTTATTATTCATCATAGTTACCCCTCACAATTTTAAAATCATATTATTGATATCCCTTTGCCGTAACTCCATTTTTTTTTTATCTTTTATTTGAATTTTTAATTCTCTTTTGCAATTTTAAAAGATTTATTCAATTGGACACTTGTGGAATAACATATTAAGAAGTATCAAAATACTTCACCCATTTACTTATAATGTCAATTTAATGGATTAAGGATAAATGGGTGTTAGTGATATGCTCTTAAAACTGTAAAACTCCTCCAACATTTAACTTGCAAATTCAATACTTTTGAAGTGTATTGTAATTTTGTTTCCAACCCAACGACGTGGTTTTCTAGGCAGTTTGTCTTTGTCATGTGGTTGAGGCTTGATAACCCGTTTAAGTGGACCTGTCAACATTGGCCCAATGGATATGGATACTAACATTGCTAAGCCAAGCCCAATTGAAAAAATAATAGACGCGGGTTGCAAAAATGACAAGTGCGTTTGCCGGGAGTCGAACCCGGGTCTATTGCTTGGAAGGCAATTATCCTAACCGTTGGACTACAAACGCTTACTGTTTAAACACACTTTAAAATTAAACATATAATAAAATAAAAAATTTACTGAAACTTTAGTGACCCTACACTAACAAACCTCTCTTACTACTTTCTCTCACAAACACCTGACGTGGCACTGAATTGGCTTTACACATAAAATTACGAACTTTAACTAAACATGAACGATCGTTACTTAAGGAGGAACGACCATTTATTCATAAGGAACGGTCGTTCTCATAAGAAATGGTTGTTCCATAAGCCCATTTAGAATGGCCGTTCCTCAACCAAGAACAACCATTCCTCATCCAAGGAACGATCGTTCCTTATCCAAAGAATGACCCTTTTTTAGGTTTAGTCGAAGTCATTTTGTGACCGTTCTGATGGGAGCTGCCAACTCAGTGCCACATGTGCGGTTTGTGAGAGATGTTTGTCTGGCTAGTATTATTGTTGAAACTTTATTCTGTCAATGATATTCTTCAATTTTAGGACAGTAATAAGATAAACGAGCAACTTCTCTTTAGTTAACGTATACCTACTATGCATATGTCTTAGTGTCTTCGAAACTCAGTTTGCCACTTAAGATAACACATGAAGCTCAAGTTTGACACAAATTCTTCGCCCCACAGTGGACTTTATTTATTCCAGAGAGTTGTGCTTTCTCTAGTCAACCACCCTGAACAAAAAGTAGATCAAATCAAACTAGAAGATTCATATTTTGCACTTCTTTACTCCCATCTACTCAAAATTAATGAATAATGAACATTGGTACCAGGAGAAAACAAAGTCCGAAGTAAAAAAAATTTAACCAAGCCAAAACAAATGTGCACCAATATATGTTCCCAAATCAATATATATAATCTGTTACTTCAAATACACATATTAATTAAGGCATGTGCATTATGTGAGGAAGCAAAGTGGTCCATTTGCATATCCACAAGGCCCTGCATTTCCTAACCATAGAATAGTCGAATCTGTCAATCACTTAGGCATCCAATTCTGCATCAAATCATACTTCTTGCATATAACACAATCTTTCTTTTTTCTGGGTAAATATGAACCAGCCAAAACTCAAATACATCTGTATATAGATTCCCATTTAACATCAATATATTATATATATTCATGAATAGAGAAATGTTATTAACTGCAGTGTTGCCATCATTGACAGACTATATGAGATTCCTGAATTAATTCCTTGAAAATCAAATACACGCTTTCAAATATGCTTTTTTTTTTTTTCATTTTTATTGATGTTAAAATAGTTCTGTTATAGCAGGTATTCTACTACTTTCTTGACAAATCAACCCCGCTTATTTGATTTTCTTTGTAGAGGTTCAGCTAGGGTAGTTCGAAAATTTTCCAGCATCGATGTTGTTTATTATCTGATATATAAACGCATGATGCAAAAGCAACCGTGACTGCTCATAAAACACGTAATGAATTGATCAATATTGTTGTATAGTAAAGGTGTATCCAAAAGATTGTTATCAGAAGGAACAAATTCTAATAGATAACAGCAATTTCTCCAGGCCAATT